GGGGGGACGGGCGTCGGGTCGGGGGGGGCCCGGCTCGGTGTTCGACGTCCGTTTTCCTCCTGCAGCTTTGACGGGGACGACTTCGATGATGTGGAGGAGGATGAAGGCCTGGAGGACCTGGAGAACGCGGAGGAGGTGGGTGCCCCCGCGGGTCCACCGCGTCGGCCGGCCCGGGCGAGGCCTGGTTAGGCGGTGGTTGGGGCTAGGGAGGCCTCGGGGGGCTCAGCCAGCAGCGTGAGGCCTCGGTGGTGGGCGCAGCTGAGGTGCAGCACTGGTCTGCTTTCCCCAGGAGGGACAGGAGAACGTGGAAATCCTTCCCTCGGGAGAGCGGCAGCAGGCGAACCAGAAGCGGATCACTACCCCCTACATGACCAAATACGAGCGAGCCAGAGTCCTGGGCACTCGTGCCCTCCAGATAGCGTGAGTATTTCACTCCGTATCCCAAGCGTCACCACAGCTTCTCCTCCCTTCCCGCTGAAAGCTGCTTTCCTCCTTCCTTAAAAACTCCTGGATCTCATGTAATCCCTTAAACGACTGCTCCGCTTGCAGATCACCATCTTGGTCAGCACTGAAGCACAGGACTGTGTTGCTCTTCGTTGCCTGTGAAGTCTCTTGGCTCTTGCCTTGGCTGAGGCTGTGGTGCTTGTGCCTAGAGAGGGGAGTATTCAGGAGCTGCAGTGGACCTTTCCTAGGTCGCAGGCGAAATGAGTAGGGGATGTAGCAAGCTGATCCTGGTTTCTGTCTTTCATAAGGGAGCCAACATGGGCTGGAAAGCTGAGAACCGGTTTGTAAAAGCCAGTGTCGGAGGGAGGGGTGGGTGCTCCAGGACATCTTCAGTTGATACCACAGGGCTGTAGGAAGTGGGACTGGAGTAACCAACCCAAAATCTGTTTTAAGTGCAGTTGCATTGTGGCAAGCTGTAAGTTTTTTCAAGTATTTGGAATAGGAAGGCCTGATTTATAATAGGTAATAACACTTAAATTCTATTTTAAGAATGGCTGGCTGCTCTCAACTTCATCCATTTGCCTGTCTAGACTTGTTTTAATAATACATGTCAAAAAGTTCTGTGCTTTTTGAAAACCTGCCTTATGAGCGAGATTATTAGGCTGCATCAAGGTTTGTCTGAAAGCACATCTATGACTTTCATCTTGGTTATATCCACCCTTAAAATGATGTCTCTCCTCTACATCATTTAGAAGCTCGTAGGTGGTGATCAGATCTTTCCTTAATCATCGCTTTGCCAAGCTATTCTTTGCACAGTCTTCACTCTGTGAAGCTATTTTGTGCACTTCTGTCAACTGGTGGAAGGCCAGAAAAATGGGGGAGATGAGATGGACCCGTGCCAGGCCTTTAATCCAAAACACTCTGGCGCCTGGTTTTGCTTCACCTACAGATTCTGCCTTCAGTGCTGAACCTAGGCCAGCAGCAGCCCCCAGTGGCCTTATCCACGTGTAACATGAACTTTCTTTGCTGCCACTGTCTAATGGGCAGATGTCACCCATGTTTGCTCTGCTGTTACAACTCACTGCAAAATGCTTAATTTTTAATTCCTAGAGGTAGAGTGCATTGTAAATCCAGCCCCTCTCCTCCCCCCAAACAAAGCCTGGAAGGTGTGAGCAAATTGGAACGCAAGAGGTGTGTTGGAGTTGTGGGAGGCATGCTCATTTTACAGCATTTCCACCCTCTTCATTGGATTAATTTTAGAACCACTCTTTTCCTCACATTGAAGTACAGCAGAGG